CCCCACTAATTTTGTGCCAGCCACAAACCGTCCAGTACTGTTCCTGCATTGCAGCAGGCAATGCTTCCACCTTGAAGCTTTGGCTCTTGCTGTCCACTCTGCCAGGTATCTGCTGCCCTTGCATGCTCATTTCCTTCAGGTCTGAGTCCAATGGCCCCGTTCCGGAAGGCCTCCCTGTGCAACCCCATCTGAAATTGCCACCCACCCCTCGGCGCTCCCTCCCCTTACTTTTCTCCTTAGCACTTATTACTATCTGACTTACTATATAATTTACTCATTCTTCTTCGTTAATGCCTGCCTCCCCACTAGACTCTAAGCCCCAGAGGGAGGGACTGTTTTGGCCAGTTTTATTCACAGCTGTATCCCAGTGCCTAGCCCACAGTAGCACTCAATAAGTACTTACTAAGTGAATGATTCCAAAAGCCTCCTGGTTTCCCTGCCGGCCACTCCGTCCCCTGATCCATGCCTGTCTCACCTAATAGTGAATTCCACATAGATCGGTGCCTTGTTCACCACTGAACCCCCAGCACAGAGCTCGACAAACAGAGCTTCATGAGAGAAGGCCCAGGATTATGTCTAATTCATTTCTGGGCTCTTTTTTTTTTTTTTTTTTTGAGACAGAGCATGAGCAGGGGAGGGGCAGAGAGAGGGAAACACAAAATCCAAAGCAGGCTCCAGGCTCTGAGCCGTCAGCACAGAGCCCAATGTGGGGCTCGAACCCACGAACCATGAGGTCGTGACCTGAGCCAAAGTCAGATGTTTAACCAACTGAGCCTCCCAGGTGCCCCTTCATTTCTGGGTTCTTAGCACCAAGCATAGGGCTGAGATCCAGATTCATTCTAGTATGCAGTGATAGTGCTGTCTACTTATACTTTCCAAACAAATTATTTTTTGTTTACTCCTGATATTAATTTAATGTAAAAGCCAACCTGAGGGAAGGAGCATGTGTTGCTCCAGATTATAGTGTGTGCCGTCTCACAGACATGGCCACTTGGCACCTTGACCTCGGGCCTGAGGTTACAGCCCATCCCTTTGGCCAGGAGGAGGCCAAGGGCCTCCACAGGGCTGTGCAGGGGTGCAGAGGGCATGACTATTCATGGAGGAGGCAGGTGGGCCCCACTCTCTGGCTGGCAAACAGAAGTGGCCCCAGGGACCAGGTGAAGGTTCTAAAGCGAGAATTTATTCCAAGTGCACACGTGAGTGTGGACAGCGGTGACCTCAGGAGAGACCCGCATTTCAAAGTAGGTCATATGCCTCTCAGTCTCCTAGCCCCAGCTCCCCACCCTGCCACTTCTCTGGTCTGGACTTGGGCAGGGGAGGGCCTCATAGTCCCCAGCAAAACAAAGGTACCTGAGAGCTAAGAGAAAATTACACAGCCTTATCTTTATTAGTATCTAGCAAGAAAAAGAAAATCAAAATCCCCTCCCTGCTCCAACCCCACCTTCACCACCTGGGCCCTCAGCCAGCAGCATCTATC